CTCAAATGCCCAATGTCACTTTTGTCCCCACCCTTCAGCTGCTCTGCAGTGGAGGATCCAGCTGTGCCCCATCCTCACTTTTGGGGACCTCCACTCCCCCTGCTTGGCACCCAAAATGTGGGCAATGCTGAATATTAGGGTACCTGTGTCCTTGCATGGAGCTTGCCACCCTGATGGAAACCAGAGAGGGGAAATTATTCAAATCAGACACCCTTTCCCATTAACCTGCCAGAGGAAACCTTTAGCAGGCGACCTGCCAATGCATCCTCAGACTGACAACAGCTTTTCCAAATGCCATCCAACTCAGAGGCAATAGTGAAAGCTTCATAAATAAACCTTCTTCGGGTGCCATGCTCATCCCTGTGACATCCCAGGGCCTCCTGGCAGCATGGTGGCACAGTGACTCATCCATTGGACATGTTGTTTGTTCTCTCCCTGCCAGGAGAAGCACGCAAAGGGCTTGTTTTCGTAAGGTTGTTTGTATTTTTTAAATTATTTTTTTTGTATTTGTGCTCAGGGAGTTAGCTGACAGCAAAAGCAAAGGTGCAGGCAGATTCCCACAGGAGAAGATTCCCCTTACTTTTGCTAATAAATGCTCCAAAGAGTGACAAAGATGATAGCACATGAGCACACTCTGCCCCATGCCCTTCTAGGGATTATTTCTAGTTGATTTCTGCTATTTTCTCTTGAAAAAAATCTCATTGGCCATAAATTTTAACTGGAATGAAGTCAGCAGCATGGTCCAAGGTGTTTTGTGGCCTTATTTGCCAGGGCAGATCTGAGGACCTCTTGTCTGCAAGGCCCCCTTGGACCCGCTCACCCTTACCAGTGCAGCATGGGCATCATGGGGAATTTCATGCCACTCGAAGATGCCAAGCAAACCTGTCTCCTTTGCCTCAACCATCAACAGGAGCATAGGAATTTAGCTACGCCCAAAAATCGCCACCTGCCCAGGAGCATCATTTCAAGTCCCTGGGATACAGGGAGTTGTAGTCCCAGCCTTTGCTTTCAAGCAGGAAAAGCTGACATCACATCTCCAGTGAAAAAGGCCGTTCTGAGCAACAGTTTCTGAAGGAGGCTGAGTAATTATTTCACTCAGATAAGCCCAGGAACATTGTGTGAAGCTATATGCACACAGCAATCGTTGAGCACTGAGCAACGGAATTCAGAGCTGTCAGCAAGGAGGGAAATACCGCTTTGGGGGATTGAAAACATTCATAAAAAATTCCTGGCTCCCAGCCTAGTCCATCCCGTTGCCAGCCGTGCTCGCAGTTGCATATTTTTGCCTTGGGGATGAAGTTGCAAGGAGGTTCTTTTCCCCCCTTCGCTGCAACACATGGCCAAAAAGGCACACCTTAACCTGGACTAGTGAGTGCTGAGCTTTCAGCCGACCGAAGCCCGCCCAGCACCATGGGGTTTTGCAGGGCTGTGCTAGCTCATCCCCACAGAGCCTCTGGCTCGCTTTCTCACAGGCACCAGTGCAACAGCTGTAGGACAAGCCCAGTAAGATGTATGCATGCAAACCGTTCTGCTGACATTGAATTTTAAGTAGTGGGCGTCCAACGCTGCCTTTTCCAGACCGTGAGAGTCCAATTCCCTGAACTCAGAGGACAACCGGCCAGGAAACGTAGGGTTAAGATGACACTTCCCACATGGCCCCCCTACATAACCTTAACTCTGCCCCCCTGGGAATGGCAATAGGAACTGGAACAGGACCTTATCCCTCCTTGGCTGTATTTGATACATTCCCTCAACATAAACTCAAGGTCTCAACATAAAGCCAGGGGATTTGAAGGCTACATCTATGCTGTTAAATAAAAGAGAGCCAAGGGTTTATCCATGGACCCAGGGCAGATGGCTATGAGGAGGGAAGAAGCATCATTCTTTTTGGCTTATGGCTGGACTGAGTTGAGCATCTTTGGTCGTGATGCAGATGGGACCAACGCCTGGTAGTTTCTAGATGGGACCTCCTGGAGTTTGTTCACTAAGTGCCCCACATGGACACAGGAAAAAAGTGTTGGTCCTTAACGCTTGGGAGCTGAGCACTGCAGTATGGCAAGTTGAAATGGCTTTGGGACCTCTGACTCATAATTCACCCTGTATGCCTTACACTCATGAGGACCTCTCTCCATTTCAGGCCAACGTGAGAGCACAAATGTCTTGACTTTTCCCTTTAGCATGTACTAGTCATCAAATACTGTTATTCTGTCTCAATTTCCTTTCTTGTCTCCTTTTCTGCCCCCCAGCAGAACCGGTTGTCAGTGTGTGACTTGGGTGCATGACCTGCCCTTTTTTCTAGTGCAAAAAAACCCCACAACATAAAAAATACAGAGAAATCTTGGCAGTCCCCTTCTGCAGCCACAGGATTTATCATCCCAACCCTTGCAATACCCTCCCCGTCCTGTGAAGCAATCCATCTCTCACCTGCTATTACGGAGTTCATCTCACAGACCTAATGGAGTACGTGAGTCCTGAATTGGCTCCCGCTAATGCTCTCAGTGGCCGGGTCGCTGCGGGGAGCAAGCTGGGAATTAATTTTGAAAATCAATGCAGACGCCGATAGAGCAGCTTCCCCCAGGGAAGCAACGTGCTTTTACTGGGCATTGCTGCCTGCTCCCCTTCAGCCCCCGTTCTCTTTTATGTGGTTGGAGTAACCGTAGAGTAATTCATCCTGCTTTCAGTGAGCTCACTTTTTGTGCTGCACTCTCCAGTGTCCCCAAATCAGACTGATTTTTGGGAAAAGATTAGAGTTTCCTGACAGTGAAGGATTCACTGTGTTCCTCAAAGTGTTGTGATGTGAGTTTGTGATGCCAGGGACCATGTCCTCTGTGCAGCCCCATCTCTCCCCTTAGGTTGTGTTGGCACAAATAAATCCGTGTAATTTCTAACTCCAAGATGTATTTTGGCCTGCCATGGCTTTTCCATGCATGGCAAGTGCAGAGCCTGCAGGGATAGTGTTGGAGGACTGCTCAGGGCAGAGGGACCCCAACACAGCACAGTTCAAAGTTGTCCCCAGAGGCGACTTTCATGCTGGGATGGGGACACAACACTAACCTGCCATCCTCACACCACCCGTGGAAGAGTCTTGGCCAAAGCCCAATGTCATGGGCAATTTCTGACTGTGATTCAGGAGGTAGCAAGACCAGGGGGCTGTTCCTGAGAGGCACTTTGGGTGCAGCTCCCCTGTTTTTGACAGCAGTGTGGGTATGGCCTCTATCATACTGGTTGACCTCAAAGCACTTGATTAGGGACTAAGATCTGGGACTCTCAGAGTTCTCAAGACTCCTTTTCCAATGAGGATCAGTCTGCACTGCTACAAGATAAATATTTAATAAGAATGAGGGTCAAGGCACTGTTTTATCCAAGGACAGCGAGATGGCCATTTACTCCCATGAAAAGCACCAAGGGATCTTTAATGCCCATTCCAAGAAGACAGGAATTGGAGTTTTAAGCTCTCATTCCCCACCATTAATGTCAATGTTAAATATTGATCCTTTCTGTGTTTAGCACAAACCAAACAACAGAGTCGAGCCACACTCTTTGGCTTTTATTAATGTACTGTTTCTGCATCGGATGAAGTTTGCAGTAATGCCAGGAAAAAGAATGTAGCAGCAGTGAGCAAGCGGCAGACAGATCGATTTTGTATCTTGACACAATTCAGAAGTCAGTGAATAATCACCCTGTGTGGAGCATCTCCTTGTCCAAGCCATGACATCCATTTTGCAGAGAACTAATTTTTCTGCAACGTAAGAGAGTCACGCCCAAAATTTCAGGTAGGATCTGGGATCTGAGGGAAGGAATGGGAAAAAGAGGTTGGAAATCTGTATAAAATCCCCCTCATCCCCATGTCGGAACAGGTTCCCTTATGGTTGTCTGACATCAAAGCAAGTGAACATTGTGTTGATGGAAACCTGGGAGCAATCCCTAAATCAGTGGTGGCAGAAAATGGGTGGACTTACCCAGGGAAAGATGTCCTTTTTGTTATGGTTTGGGGTTTTTTTTGGCGTTTTGCATTAGCACCGAATAAATGTAAATCTCAGCTATTATAAAGGATGATTTCACTGAACCAGGATGAGTGCTTTTCACATGCCAGGAGTTCATGCATGGCAGAGAGATCATGCATGGTCTTCTGCAGCCAGAGATGGATCAGCTTTTCCAAAATATTCTTCAGCCTGTGGGTTTTCTGGGGTTTTTGGTTGTGGGTTTTTTTGTAACGGGAGTTTACAGCCTGTCTGTAAAAATTCATCCCTGGTTCAAATTCTTGGAGCAAGTTTATTAGAGGGCTGGAGTAGCTGGGTGATCATTCCTGACCTCTGGGATTTTCTCTGTTTAAATGAATTTAATATTTTAAACGTATTTCTCCTTGAGCAAGGGGAGCTGGCAGTAGGAGTCATGTTTTGTGTCTGCATCCCATTCTACTAGCAGAAAAAAGCAGGAATTCTTTTGAGGTCGCAAAATTAATAGAGAACATGGGAATATTATTAATCTCTGCTGCCATTATGTCCATGCACATTCCCACCCTGTGCCTCGGTTTACCCAGCTGTAAAAGAATATCAATGATTCCCTTACACAGAGGGATGGGGATGACTTAAGTCACATCTCTAAAGCCACTTACAAAGGTCTCTAAGAAAAAAACAGAAGCAGAAACTGAGATGTGAAAGCTCTTCTCTTCCTTTCCCTTTTTAACCAATTTTTAACAACCCGCCAAGCTCCCCATGAATCGGGCTGACATCTCCCAGACATCACTGCAAGCCACTAAGCATGTGATAAAATATGGTAAAATCATAAAATATGATAAAATATTTATTTCCCTACATGGTACCTATAGTTGCATGTGCTCCAAGTAGCGGACCCTGCTGCTGTGTGCATCACTCAAAGCCATAAACAAACCCCACCAACCGCCATAAATGCCAGGGCATTTAAGAAAGAAAAATCCTGGGAACACAGGCTGTGGGGACACTGCATCCAGCTGCTCACTGGTGTGTTTTTCCCCTTCACAGATACCCTGAGGAGCATCGCCTCCATGAACCATGCACCGCGGTCCTCCCCAGCAGAGCTCAGCAGTGCCAGCCACCATCTGCTGCGAGAGCGAAAGTCCTCAGCGCCGTCCCACTCCAGCCAGCCCACCCTGTTCACCTTCGACTCACCTGCCAGCCACCTCCAGAGCACCCTGTCTGCCAGTGCCCCCCAAGACTACCTTTTTCTCCACCAGTGTATGAGCAGAAAGTCAGAAAACGCAAGGTATTGTAGCCCGCCTGGGAGCAAACCTTGGGGACAGCTGAGGGGGGGCTGGGGGTGAGCAGCTCAACCCACCTCCATCCTTGGAGGTCTGCAAAACCCAGCTGGAGAAAGCCCTGAGCAATGGTCCTATCTCATCATGGTTGGGAGGAGGAGGTCGGAGCAGCGACCTTCCAAGCTCCCAGCCTTCCTGGCTTTCTGGGTTGTATCAAAAACGGGCTGAACAGCTGGACCCAGAGAGCGGTGATGAGTGGTGCAAAGTCTAGTTGGAGGCCAGTCACAAGCGGTGTACCCCAGGGGTCAATACTGGGTCCAGTCCTGTTTAACATCTTCATTAATCATATGGATGATAGGGCAGAGTGTACCCTCAGCCACTTTGCTGATGACAGCAAGCAGTGAGGATTGGCTGACATACCAGCAGGTCATGCTGATATGCCAGAACCTCAACAGACTGGAGAAATGGGCCAGGAGGAACTTCATTAAGTTCAACAAGGAGAAGTGTAAAGTCCTGCACCTGGCCAGCAACAGCCCCAGGCACCTATAAATGTTGGGGATCACTCAGGTGGAAAGCAGCTTGGCAGAAAAGGACCTGAGGATCCTGGTAGACACCAAGTTGAACATGAGCCAGCAATGGGTCCTTGCAGCCAAGAAGGCAAATGGTATCCTGGGCTGCATTAGACAAATTATCGGCAGCAGATTAAGGATCATCATCCCTCCTCTCTGCTCAGCACTGGTGAGGCCACACCTGGAGTGCTGGGTCCAGTGCTGGGATCCCCTGTACAAGAGTGATATGGACATACTGGAGAGAGTCAAGCAAAGGGCCACAAAGATGCAGGAGGGACTGGAACATCTCTCCTTTGAGGAAAGGTTGACAGAGCTGGGACTGTTCAGCCTAGAGAAGAGAAGGCTCAGAGGGATCTCACCAGTGTATAAATACCTGAAGAGAGGGTGCAAAGATGTATCCAGGGTCTTTTCAATGGTGCTTAATGCCAGGACCAGAGGCAACAGGCACAAGCTGAAACACTAGAGAGTACCTCTGAATTTCAGGAAATACCTTTTTACTGTGAGGGTGACTGAGCACTGGCACAGGTTGCCCAGAGAGGTTGTGGAGTCTCCTTCCTTGGAGACATTCAAAAGCCACCTGGACATGGTCCTGGGTAACTGGCTCTGGGTGGCCTTGCTTGAGCACAGGGATGTTGGACCAGGTGACCTCCAGACATCCCTTCCAACCTCAAGCGCTCTGATCCCTCAGACGGGGCCCTAATTCCTGCCTTTAACCAGAAAAATTGGCTGGGCATGGGATAGGCAGGATTTGCACTGCCCTGCCATTCATCCCTGCTGGGCTTCGCAGCAGCCCGTGGTGCACAATTCCTGAGCGAGTGGCAGCTCTCCGCCTCCGCATCCAGCCAGTTGCCTTAAATAGCGAGGAGGTTTTTTGGCGTAAAGAGTTTTGGCTCGCAAGAGCGGCGAGGAGGGAGGGAGGGAGAGGCAGTTGGAGCCCAGATGATGTGAGGTGAGAGCAGAGCCCGGGATGCAGCCTCCACTGGGCTTTCCTGCTGCAGCTGCCTTTCCCTACCCGATAAACAACAGAAAAAGGCTCAGAAAAATTAAATTCAGATGGAGTTAATGGAACTGTGTTTTAAAAAAGGACTTCTGACGGTCCAGCTGTGAGGATACCTAAAAGCCACCCAAGCGTGATCTGGAGGAGGAGGGAACAAGCACCAGTGCTTTGGTGGGCAGAGACAAACTGGCTGGCGGCAGCTTCTGCAACTGGGCCAGAAATAATCATCCCAATCGATGCCCAGTGCACGGGGCCAGGCTGCAGGACTGCTAGGAATCCCTCCCCTTTCAGCTGCAGAGCTCTTACTTTACTCATCCATAAAATGAGGGTAATAGTAGCTAATTGGCGGGCAATGCTGAATAATTAACCCATGAGAAGTTTCAAGTCCTTGGCCAAAAGGACTCTGCCGGAGCCCAAACATCTCCCGGGTGGACTGAGCTCCAAAGGCAGCAGGGATTCGTTTGTCATATCACAGCATCACTTGTTTTTATCCCAAATAAGCCCTATTTCTGAGCGCCATCTCGTGCTGGCTCCATGAAACAGAGTCCTTGTTGTCCCTGCAGACCATCAACCCCACCTGAGCGGTGTAAACCAGCGTATCCCAGCTTTTCCCATCAGGCTGGCACTTCCCCAGTGATTTTACACAGCTGGAAAACCTCCCATAACCATTTCACTTTTTCCTAGCACAATGACTGATACAGGGCAGGACTCTGTTCCATGGGGCTGGCTGAGCCCTTTCTGGGTGTCAGCTTGTGGTCTCCAAAAGCCTGACTCACACATGGTTATACCTCTGCAAGCAAAATGACCCAGCCCAAGGCTACCTCTCACTCTCTCCTGGTGCATGTGCATTAATTCTTCATGGTGGGGTAACCCTTTTTTAGAGCTTTGCCGTATTTTCTTCTTCCACTCTGTTTCAGCCAGCTCAGGGAAAGGCATCGTTATCACCTATGCTTGGCTCTGTTGCATCTTGCCCTCATGTCCCAGAGATTCAGCAGTGATGCTCGCATTTTCCCAAGTCTTGCACGATAGAGAGCTGCTTTGCAGTGGCAGGGGTTGAGGATGGGGGAGAAAAAAGTCCCAAATGGCCACTTCAAGCACCTCCTGGCTCAAGAAAATATCATCTGCTGGGGTTACAGGGGCAGAGCCAAGCCCATGAGGCTCATCATCTTCTGCAATGTTGGAGCGATGAAAGAGGAAGCAGTAGGAGGGATAAAACAGGAGATGAAACACCTTGGAGGGAATTGGTGGAGCAGTGGCTAATGAGCTGTCGTTAGAGGACCGAGGTCTCCTCAGTGCTCGATCTCCATCCCGGCTAGTGTCCCCAGGCATGACTGAATTACAAACTGAGGAATCATTAGCAAGGCATGGACCTAGTGATTGTGCTGCCCTACTCACCCTGGGGGATTCAAGGGCTTTTATAAATCTGAATTAAGCCCTGAGGTTCATTCTATCTCCGCTGCAGATCAGGGCTGCAAACCCCAAATCCCAGCTGGACATTGTCCTCACCTCTCCAGGGCTTGCCCTTCAAGAGGGCAGGGTGGTGGCATGGCTGGAGGCTTTTCAATAATCCCCATCAGGAGTCTTTCCAGTCCCTCTCAAACATATTTGCAAGGCAGATGTGAGAGTAATCCTCCCTCCTGCACTGTGGACAGGCAGCCAACACATGGTGGTGATGGTGATGAGGTGTCTCTTTGCAGCCATGTCTTGGGTCGCTGTCAGCTGATGTGAAAATTGCCCTTTTGGAGCAATTTATGTTTGGATAGAAGGCTTATTCTAGCCTGTAGCCCTATCATGGAGCTGGGTGCATGTACCTCCCACCTGAGACAGGCATTTTGAAAGTGTTCCAGGATAAAATGATTTGTGGGCATGTTTGGAGGAGTCTGAGAGGTTCCTGTTCCCCTGGGGTTGGGCAAGTGCGGGTTGGGAGGCTGACAAACAGGAGGAGCAGAGCTCAGTGCACCCCAGGACCAGCTCTCCCCCATCTCAGCCCCTTTCTCCCCTTCCTCTGCAGGAGTGCCAGCTTCTCCCAAGCCACGAGATCTGCCTTCTTCATGCGGAGTGACACAGCGGTCCAGAAGCTCTCACAGGGCAATGGGCACTGCAGTGAATGGGGTTGGCGGGCAGCTCCATGGCTTTTACAGCCTGCCAAAACCCAGCCGGCACAACTCGGAGTTCAGGGACAGTGCATACGACCTCCCACGCGCCTTTGGTTCCTACACCCACCCCAAATCGAGCCTCACCAGCTCTGAAACGGATAACGAGGAGGTCTACACCTACAAGACTCCAAACAACACCCTATGCAAGGAGTTTGGGGAGCTCTCCACGGACTCCTACGACATCCCTGCCACCCCGCTCTCCGTCTACCAGATCCCCAGGACATTTACACTGGACAAGAACCACAATGCTCTGGCTGTGGCTGCCAGTGACTCGGCCGCCGCGCCACCGCCGCGGCCCCCAAAACCGGGGCAGACGGAGCCGCGGTGGGGCAGCCCACCCCAGAGGCCCCAGCCCAGTGAAAGCTTAGGGCTGGCCCCCATGGCAGCCACCATTCCCCGGAGAAATACACTGCCGACGGTGGAGAACAGCAGGCTGCACCGAGGTGAATTTGGAGGTGGGGAGCAGGGGGTGGCTTTGTCCTATCTAGCAGCCTTGGATGGGGTGATCCCACTGGGTTGCAGTAGGGATGGGGTGGCTGTTGGCATCAACCAGGGGGTTGAACACAAAAAAGCTCTCCCCGGTGAGGATCTGACTCTGGGTTTTGTATGCAACGGGCAGGGAAAGACATCCATAAGGCTCTGCCCACTGGAGCTGTTCAACTGTCTCTTGGTTGTGTTGTGCCTTGAACCAAAAGCCCAAACCTGCTTGTCCATGAAGCCCTTCACCAGATTTTGGTGATTTCAGTCATTTTTACCTTGCTTTTATTTTAATTCATAACCAGGCTTATCAGAATGTACTTCAGACTTGGTTTTGCTCACCAGACAGGTACATAATTTTGCGCACCTCCAAGGCCCAACATCCCCAGTGCAGCAGAGCCGCCCTTCCCATTGGCCATGGATGGGCTGTGGATGAACATGACCTTCCCAAACCTTGTACCTAGGATGAGATAGTTGCAAAGTAACTTAGAAGAAGTGGTTGGAGAGAAAGCATACTGTAAATGATACACACAGCTCTCTGAAATGCCTCTCCCATCTCCTACTACCTAAATACCAACATTTATTCTGAGATCAGACCAATGCTGAGAAGTAGACAGACAAGTCTAAGAGATTAGGACCCTATCCTCCCCTTACCGGAGGCTGACAGCCCTTATATCTGCTGAGGGAGCTGTAACAGAGTGCTCAACCCCATGTTGTCACCGTGATCTACCTTCTCTGACGTCTTTACCCCAGGGATTTTTCATTACTTTGACAGAACCAGGTTAGGTCTGTGCAGCACATGCAGTTGCATTGACACATTAGAGAGATGCTAATCAGGAGGGAGCATAGCAGGGAGTCTGTAACAGGGTAAAAAACATGCCTTCCCACCAGCATCTCAATCATCAAGAATAGATACTGCCCTCCCAGTACCTGGATTTTGTTTTCAGGGGTCCCTTATATTAGCAGTTGCTCTGGGACATGTTGTGCATTTGTGGTTGTGTTGCAGCTTCTTCTTGTGAGACGTACGAATACCCCCAGCACGGGAGCAGCAGTGCTGTGCAGTCAGTCGAGTCGATGAACGATGGGTACAACTCCTACCTGGTGAGTTTGTCTTGGAGTCGTCCACCACACTTTAGGCACCATTTGCACCTTACAGATTCAGAGACAAGTTGTTTCCAGGTTGGACCTCACAACCCAGTCCTGCAGAGCTAAGTCAAGAACGGTTTTATTACTGATTTCAGTTAAACCCATGGTGGCCTGCAGGGTAGAGATGGAGGGACAACCATTGAATCCAGCACCACATGAAAAGCTTTGCTTTGGGTGCTTCCACAGAGTGTATCTTCCTGGAGCTCTGACCCGAAAAAAGCACCCAGAAGTTTGGCTTCTTCCTGAAAGCCTGGGATGCTGCTGAGCTGAATTTTGACATGTTGCCAGAACAGCCTCTTTTGTGCACTTTCTAAGACTTCCTGAGCTGGAAATGACATTAAAGCAGCCTCTCATACTTCATTTTAGTCATGGCCAGAGCCCAGGGAAAAATTACTTTCCAGGTTAAGCGTGCTTCTGCAGCTCACTCTGATCATGAGAAGACGGTCAAGACTGGGCAATTAAGACCTTTCCCTGAACTCAGGATGTTGCAATGTCTTGGAAACAGTAGAGGTAGACCCTTTCAGTGTGAACTGATGACCAAGTAGGGGACAGACCATTCCTTCCCTCTGTGCTGAGATTTTAGAGCTGGTCTCACCTCAGGGTGTATGTCCAGTGATGATGAGATGAAGAGGGTTTATAGTGCTATGGGGTTTAGCAGTGTCTTTATGGTCACAGCACATCCTCCTGCTTGTCCCCCAGCAAGCCAAGGCAGCAGTGGCCCGCTCCCACAGCACCGACTCCGAGGACAACTACGTTCCCATGAACCCTGGTTCCTCACCCCTGATCCACACTGAGAAAGCCAACGACAATGCCCAAAATCTCTACATTCCCATGAGCCCTGGGCCGCATCACTTTGACCTGGTGGGGTTGTCCTCGGCCACCCTCCCCGTGCATAAAGGAGGAGCCATGGCACAGTGCCACAGACGGTTGAGTGAAATCCAGCCCCCACCAGTCAACCGCAATCTCAAACCCGACCGTAAAGGTAAGAACAGTTGTTTGTGAGCAAATCTTCACAGGAACCCTTCTACTCTTGTAATACTTCTAAATACATCAGTAGAGTCCTATGTGGTGTGTGCTTTGCTACTGCCAGCACAGTCAGACCTTCAGATCTAGATCTTCCCCAACCCTTTATTCTTTCAGGAGGACTATGGTGCAAATGCAGCTTTCATGGTGCTTGAACAGCCTATCTCAAACCCTTCCTGGCCTGTACAGGAGATACATGTCACAGGCAGGATCTCACCCCCTTTGCCTTCACCTCTCCCTACGCTCCACTCCAGAGTCTCTCTGTTGTATTCAGATAAACCAAATTCCTCCTACTCTTTCCTACTGGCTGGATCTAGACAGCTCTTACCTCAGGGCTTTGCCTACATCCTCCAAATCCCACCCCAAACCATCAGCCAGCAGGTCACCAAGGAGATGCCAAGGAGGAGGGGTCCCATCATTAGGGTGTCAGCACCTAACCCCATCTAAGTGCTAGGCAAGGGCTGGGGACAGAGCACAGCAGTCTTCTCCTCCACTAACGAACACTCATCATGAAAAGAAATTTATGTTACCCTGCGGATGTCCCTTCCCATTCCCAATGGGGAAACACTCTGGCTGGAGGCAGCTTAGAGCTGGCAGAGCCTGGTCTTGTCCCCATCTAATGCGTTATCACAGCTTCATAATTAATGTATTTATTATACTCTGGGGTTTGGGCATTTTTAGCAGATCTCCATTCCCTGGGATGTACATTGTCCTTTTGGGGCTACCCATCCACTTTGGGGCTGTGAGTCAGAGAAAGAAATTCCCCGTTTTCTCCCAGTCCTGGTGTAAATAAGTGCACGGATTTTGGTTGGGGGTATTTGTCATCAGCAAGGAGGGCTTGGGGGCTGATTAGAAGAATGGAACCAACCAACAATCTGTTGGGGACCCTCCCATGCCAATCATGGATGCTGAATTGTAGGAATGTGCTGCCACTGAATAAAGGCTTCTCCTCTCCCCAGCAAAGCCATCACCATTGGACCTGAGGAACAACACTGTCATCGATGAGCTTCCCTTCAAATCGCCGGTTACAAAATCCTGGTCCAGGCCAACGTGAGTAATGGTTGGGGTACAAATTCTTGCTTTGTTGCAACAGCAGATCTCTGGTCCTACTCTTGCTGGTGTCCACATGTAGCCACATTGTCACCTCTGCCACGGTTTAAACATCTCTGGCTGAATGCAAAGGGGATGTTGGATGCCCTTCCGCCTTCGCTTGCTGCAGAGGTTTCTTCTGGCCCACCATCTCTTTTTGCTGAAGGGGCGTGTTTCTCATGGGCCATCTCAAATCAAGCTAGAAGTGAGCCCAGACTTTGGATGCAGAGCCAAATTTTCCCAAAAGCTGGATGATCCCTTCAGCCCTCATTGTGCTCTTTGCCAATTTTAGAAACAGGAGCTGCAGAGCTGGGTCATGCCATGCAAACATCTGCACTGAGCTGAAAGTCCACTTTGCCCAACACCTTACCCCCCATCAGGGACCAGCAGGAGCTATCTGGGAAGAGGGGCATTTTATGGAGTAATTATATCCTAAAACATCCGGACACACCATGGCGATTTGGGGCTCAGGGTTTTCCTTGGTCACATCATGGCCAGACTTAGGACCTGGGTCAGATGGTGTTGAAAGGAGAGGGGCTCCTCTCTTGGACCCCTCACAAGCTTAGTCAGGTGTTGTAAGAGCCGGAGTCATATTTCCCCACATCACAGCTGGTGGGAGGAAGATAAATTCATTTAGGCCGGGATTTCACATGAAAGCTCAGCATGTGGCCAAGCAGCTAATTAAGATCTCTTGAAGACATTTCCTATTTATGGGATCTGACAACTCCTGGAGAGCTGTGGTTCCTGACACAGGACCTGTGGTCCACTGTGACTCATGACCCAGCTGAGCCACCCCAACTCTGCCACGCTGGGGGTGCGGGGCATTATTTCACATCCAGCCCTGCCCCCCAAAAAACTGCTGTAGTCTCAAAATGCAGGGTGACACTCGCAGGATCTGACCAAGCTGTGTTTTGATTGCCTTGAAAGCAAAGCCTAGCCTGAAGGAAGTCTGCAAAATGAAACCAAAGCACTTCAGAGCAAAGTCTGCTGGCCAAAAATAACAGGATTCGCACAATTCCAGTTCTGCTGCTAATTCGTGGTCTGATGTTGTCCAATGAAAGGCAGAAGCAAAGCTTGGCTGCTATGACTCCTCTAATAAATTGGATTGTGTGGAGACTGACTGCAGGGCATGAGCGCTGTGTGCTGAAATCACTGCACCAGGAAACAGCAAGCGGGTTTTGATTGACAAGACATCCGACCCTGGAGAAGCTAATGGATTTTTCCCTTATCAGCTGATCATACGACCCTGCCTTTACTGCAAGGCAACAAATAGCTTTTTAAGACGCAAGCTTTAATGCCAGACGCTGATTGCATTATGTTATTCTGTATAATTAGATTTGGCCAATTGAAAGCAAGACAATGCCTCAGAGGTTTTGTTTTCCAGCAAAAAATTTGGATAGGGCCCCACACAGTAAACAAATCCTGGAGCTGCAGTGAGGCTGGAGGTGAGAAGCTGCGATGAGGCTGGCCCTGTGTCTTCCACAATTAAATACTTCCTGTGAGATAAGAGTTCATGGATTTATGTAGCTGATAGCAAGAGTTATGGGTACATAGCAAGAAAAGTGTTATTAAGAACTCCTAGAAATAAAATAAAAAAAAATTAAAAAAAACCAAACCAAACCAAAACAAAACAAAAAAACAACAACAGCCAAACAGAACAAAAGAAGAAGACCAAACCCAGTGATTTCTGAACCATGGGAAGGTCAGGTTAGGAGAACCTCAATGCCACCAAATCTTCGTCATGCCCAGTCTCTAGATCTGAGCATGATGATGTTCGGAGGCATCATGTGCTGCCCTCTCCCGTCCCTCCTTGGCAATGGACAAGCAGCATCTACTACCATCGTTAACACACTGACCCTTGTCCTTACAGCCAGACCTTCCATGCCGGCTCTTTGCAATACTGTCGTCCTGTCTCCTCCCAGAGCATCACCAGCACTGACTCAGGAGACAGCGAGGAGAACTACGTGGCGATGGTAAGGGCCCCACAGCTAAGATATATGGTCCTGGCAAGACATATATGTTCCCCAGCTCTGCAAACACATTCCTAGCTCATGACAAGAGAGTGCTCAGATAGCACTGTGATAAACGTGGTGTACATCCTTCCATACATCCCTACATGCACGAAACAGTGGTTTTCAGTTCCTAAAATGACACGTCCCATTGGGGTTTTAACTGTTTATGAGAGCAGGAACATATATCATCTGCTTTGCCAGGAATTAAGAGGGGATAAAACCATCTATGGACTGTCACTGTCTATTTTCTTAATTTAAGTTGATTTTTTTCAGTTTGGTTTTTTTTTTCCCCTAATAGGTTCTGACATCATGTTTGTGTGGAGGGCAGGGGCTATCAGAGCAGTAGCAGGGAGTGGCACTGCTTACAGGGAGGGGATTTTGTCTCTCTTTGCAAAGCTGTTGACTTGAAGCATATTTTTCAGGCTGTGTAACTAAAGGGATAGAAGAAATCTGTGCTCTGTGTAGTGTGGTTGTGATTAGTGAAGATCCCAGAGCTGGTCTGGTCTCGCTGAGGTGTGGTTCCTGGGAAATGCTGAAGCTCATGTCTGATGTCAGGCATGTGAATAAAATCAGCACAAAGGCAGCAGAACTGCTCTAATACATAAAATCAAGAGCATGAGCTTGAAATATTTGTTAGCACAATATACAATATGTATAGTCCCCCAGGGGTTCTGCACATCCTGGTCCCAGAGAGGCAGATGAGAACATATCCAGGCTGCAACCTCTCTTAAAAGTACCACCAAGGCATTTTGTTGCCAGATTTATGTTAATTCCTTTTTTTTTTTTTTTCCTTCTTCCCATTTTAATCCTCATTATCTCTCCTGTCTCTTCCCTGCATTAGCAAAACCCCATTTCTGCTTCTCCTGTTCCTAGTGGCACCAACAGCCCAGCACCTAAAAAGAGTTCAGGGAGTGTGGATTATCTGGCCCTGGACTTCCAGCCAAGCTCACCAGGGCCACACAGAAAGGTATGGGGGATTTTATAAACTTCTGATTAAAAGTGATGCATTTTTTAAGGGTTTTTATGCTCATTGGCAACAGCATGGTCCAAAGCCTTGAGCAGGGTTGGTAATGTGACACAGTAACCTCAGAGGCTTGATTTTTCCTGAAGATTTGCTTCTGTATTTATTCTAGGTCAGACTTGGTCTCTGTTGCATATGTCTGCAGCCTTGCTGCAAGTTTCACAAGAAGCATGGATGTGCAGGGGTTCAGGGATGCTGATGAGACCAGAAATTCATCTGGAGATTGTATATTCAAAAGTTGTCAGGAGGTATCCCAAAAAGTACCAGAAAATTCTTTTTCCTCCTTCAGAACAACAGGTCCTCCAAAACCAGACTTAGGTTTTCCACCTGAGATACTTTCAGAAGCTCATTCAGAAAATGCTGGGCACTTGTCTCCTGCCAGTCAGGTGCTTTTAAAGGCCATTTGGGCAGGAGAAGTACAAACTGCTTTCAAAAAGTGAAGCTGATGTTCTAAAAGCTAGATTATGTTGAGCTGATCAAGCCATTGCCTGGTGAGAAAGAGCTGTGGGGAGAAGATGGGTTGGGAATGGGATGTTTCTGCCAAGCATCATGTGGAAATGCAGAAGGGGAAACTCCTAAAGACCCAGATGTTGGTGAATTTTCTCCAGGTTCATACACGGTGGAAACAAGCACCAGTCTTAAAGTGAATCCTAGGAAAATAGGGCAAGGGAGGGCCTCAGGGCATTCCCACATCCAAAGGAAACCGTCTCTCTTGAGGGGACAGATGAGGTTTAAAAGTCTCATATGATGGAGAATTCACAACCTCCCTAGCAAGACCACATACCAAGATGAAGAGGACACCCAAGGGTGACAGAGTGGGCTGGGATGGGACCAAAGGCAGGTCCTGCTGGTTACCACCCTGAGAAAACTGAGAGGTGGAAGGAGAGACTGGCTCAAGTAAAGCAGCACCAGAGCAAGGGGATGGTGAAGGACAAGGCATTGTATAAGCCTGTGTGGGAACCATCTGTGAGTTGGCCTCAAATTTCTCAAACACTGACTTGTTTCATTGGCAAAGCATCCCACTGGTTAGGTCTTTTTATGATTTGAAAGTTAGCCTTTGATTGTTTCTTTCTGCCCAGCAATATTTCTGCAGGCATTAGTTATTTAAATTACATCCCAACCTGGAAAAGTGGTTTTAGACCATTAGAAAACATCCTCTGGCTCCAGTTGCAAGCAGCTGGAGGGTCCTCTGAAATGCCTATAGAGGCAGACAAGTTCTACGACTCAAGAAACTACAGAAAAGTATCTCCTTCTTCCTCAACAGGTCTTGTGGGTGAACCTGCAAACATATTTGTTGTTTTGGGGATGAAAATAATCTATTGCCGTAGGCCTGTAGGTCAGCACAGCTAAGAAGGATAGAGCTGGGATTTTTATGTGTATCTATAAGAGTTCTTGAGCTCTTTACAAGAAAATGAGCAAGATACAACTGCTGAGTTTGAAATCTAAGCAGTTAGATACTACAACTGCAACCAAACATTCGTGCCCCAGAGCTGGTGGGAAGGTCGAGACCCAGGTGCCAGTTTCTACCCTTCCATTACACTGCAGTCTCATGCAAGCAAGATGCAGAGCAGACTGAAATCCTTCATCCAAGCCCCTTGGGGAGGTTAGAGGGAGGGTGTTGAGCTATGGAATCTGCAAGAAAGCGTGGGAGATGCCAGCGGCCTTGCAGCACCCTATAGTGATGCTGAGGGAAGGAGTGAGAGGGAAGAGCGGGGACCAGATGAGTGATGAGGCAGTGCCCATGTTTCTTCTCCCTGCAGCCCTCCACCTCATCGGTCGCCTCGGACGAGAAGGTTGATTATGTGCAAGTGGACAAGGAGAAGACACAGGCGCTTCAGAGCACCATGCAGGAGTGGACTGACGTGCGGCAGTCCTCAGAGCCCGCCAAGAACACGAAGCAGTAGCACCTGGGGAAGGCGGCGAAACAGGCAAATGTCTCAGCAGTTTTCCCCAGCTGGGGCCCCTCCAGGCTGCCAGCTCCACTTGGGCTGGATTTCTAAGACTTGTCTGTGGAGGTGAGGGAGCCTTCATAATTTTTTTTCATTTTAAGACAAAAAAAAAAAAAACTTATTTTCAGGGGAAGACTTGGCGGATACTGTTTGCCAGTGATAAAGACCAACTACTTTCGGTGGCTAGGTTTGTGCTTTAGCTGCTGGATGAACTATCCAGGAACTTCAACTCAGCAATACAGGTTTCACCCTACACATCTTTTGCTTACAGCTATTAAAGCCACCTTGTATGTGCTAACACTGCATCATCTCTCCCCGTCTTCTATTCGGTACCCCAAACCATACCATGCAGGTTTGCAGTAACTCTCACAGGACATAATTCCCCAGCTCTGATTCCCCACTCCCTATGGTTGCCTACTTCTCTACCTCCTCCCAGGCCCAAAACTGAGCAAAGACCATTTCTTTTGAAATCACTTTTGTTGTCCCATCTCTTGTAAATACTATGTTCAAAACCTCTGAGGGCTATTCTCCTGTTGGGACAGCCCCCATGGTTCTGGTTGTGATTGTTAACATTCAGGAGCTTGAAAAACATCCAGACTGTCCCACTGAGGTGACTTAGAAGCCCAAGACTTGCCCCATCATACACACACACATATATGCCACCATATGCTCACATACATAAGTGCATGCATGAAACAGCCAAGTTTGCTGGTGTGTCTTCTGCTGTTGATGTTCTCCAGCATCTCTCAGAGTCAATGGGCTGGAGATACTGGCTTTGGGTGGCAGAATTTAAGCACTAACCCACTGCCTATCTGAAACCAATTACCTGTGAATCTGGCCCCAAGAACCAAAATCTGCCCTTTGTGGCACCAAAAGAAACGCATAGAGTGAGAGTCCTACATCTGTTGCCGTCATAAGAAGCTCTGTGGTTGAGTACGAGGTGGACAGGGAGGTTCTGGAGACCCTATATATCTGGACTGGCATGAGGATGAGTGACAAGGGGCGAGTGGAAGGCTGTTGCAAGGACTGGGAGAAGTTGGATGCTGTACTGCAGAGGCTGGTCTTGAGTGAGAAGGTCCTGTGGAATGTATCTTGGAGGAAAGGAGTAGAGTAATTGGAATGTTGGTTGATGGTGAGGCCTTAGGCTTGGGAAGGGGCCAGTAAGGAGAGTCAGGGCAAGGTGTTTCAATATTAGCTTTGTTGTAGCATTATGGTTGGTTTGTGGTGCGTGCAAAGGGCTGGACTAGATATTTTCTCCCCATCTTCAGCAATGTTTCTTCAACACAAAAATGGCGCTTGTTGATGTTAACAACCCTAGGCTCTAATTATGGGCGGGAATCTGCTGTTGCCCCTATACAACATCCTTGACACATCCAGGCTTTGGGATCGCTCCCCAGACAGCTGCCAGGCGCAGAGAGCCAAGAAGGAAGAGACAGTTTACTGCAGAGATAATAATTCATGATCTCATGAAAACAGGAAGGACTAGTGATTGCCATGGAGCAGTCTGATTGCCAGACAGCAAGTGCTGACACGAATAAACAGGCCAACTGCAAACCAACAGCCAAATGAAGGAGACATTAGAAATATTAGGTAATAATATTTATCAAATAGCTGGAGCTATTCTTTCTGCAAGCTGAACTCCTCCCAGCACCACAGGCTCTATGTTCTACCAACACCACCAAGTTGTATTGATTATTGACGCTTAAGCATTAACACATTTGTTTAAGCTTGGCCTGAGTCTGAAAAGAGCCAGATGTCACCCACACAGGGACAGGATAGCAGTCTCCTAAGAGCTGCATGCTGGTAAAGTAAGTCTTGAACTTCCAACAGCAGTTTATATTTTCTTCTCATGTGCCATGAAAGGGAAGGATATTAATGGAAAGCTCTGACACCCTTTTTAAGACAATGAAGTGTTGGCCTTTTACAGAAATAATGAAACAAATATCCTAATGCTCATGGTGAAAATAATAATCATCTACAAAAAAAAAAAAAAAAAAGACCCAAAGGGGAAGATTTAGCACAGCCAGATGCTTTCTGAAGGTTGAGGAGTGTGTTAGAGCGTGCAAGGGCCCTTGCCTCTCGTTGGGGGCTTGCACGCTTTCATAGTGAGATAATGAAATTAAGACCAGAGTACAGTGCTTCATATTTCTATAGCCCCTTTCATCACTGTATCTCAGGGGAGACTAAACATTGGGCCTGACCCAGAGCCCACTGAAGCATGCATTCACCCAGCTGGGAGTGAGCTCTCCATCCCCACCCAAAAGCAAATGTGACTCAAGTGGGAAGCTGATTTTTTTCGTATTTCATCCTCTAAATTGTTAGGTGGACACAAAGGAAGGTGAGGTTGGGTCAGAAGGATTATGGTGCACTCTGGATGTATTTCCCTGCCAAAATTGTGCTGTTCTCCTTTCACACTAAAACGCAGCCACCTCTGGGGTGGATTGCAGCAGCAATTTTGGGAATAGCTCTTTATGCTGCTTTGGGTCTCTCTCAATAAAACAGTGCAACTACTCTCAAGATGAAACTGAAATCTTGAACTAGACCAAAAGCCTGGAGAAATCAAGTGGTAGCCTGTGCTCAGATTGAGTCTTTTTCTCCACCTGGGAGATGGGGAACATAACAAGTCCCAAAAGTACCCTGAAAGTGAGCAGGCGAGGGGGAGGCAGCAGCAGTAGTCATTTCTGATGGTGCAGTGGCTTGAGAGACATCACAACGGATTGGGGTGAATTTTTCTGAGTCAGTGCCCTGTGCTTCTATGCTGGGACTAGGTGCATCCAGTGCCCACTCCCAAAGCATTAATATTGGAAAAGCTCTTCATGGTACCAAAGAAACTAGTCCTTTTTCTCCACATCCCATAAATATCTTCATTTGTTTATGGGGCAAGATCTGGCACGGGATAGTTCTTTTCCCAGTCTCAGCCCACCCTGTTTTGATTTGCTTTCATGATCATACCCAGAAAGTGACCCTTTGCATTTGGCAGAGCAAGGACCAAAAGAGCCCCAAAGTAGCTATTTTGCAGCTTCTGGTTGCTGGTCCCTCTCTGCTTTAAAGTGAGGCCTATGTTTTCCCAGAAAGATATATTTGTCCATTTTTTTGGCCCTGCTAATCACCAGGCAAATGGCTCCTCCAAATTAAATATCAGCCCATAGACTCTATCCATTGCCACAGACATGACTATATCAACCCCTCCTGAAAGCCGTTAAGTAATCAATTGCTGCAGTGGAAATAGTCATTCCTGATGGTTGCCGAGCTGATTACAGCAGTCCCTGATGATTAATGTTTATGCAGTATTTAGTCTTAAACCATATTGAAAAGCAGCTGGTTTAATTACATGGACTGCCAAGAACTTTGTCCTGAAGGCATTGAGTTTATCACATCCACTCTATACTTGGATGCTCAAGTATGACTGACTCTTTTGTTAGAAATAGGTATTTTAGGAAGCTGAGAACATTGCAAATGATTCATTTTAATTACAATTAAAATGGCTTGAGTCTTCACGTCAGAGCCTGCTCTTCAGCTCTGTGGTCCCATTTAAGAAAAGGGATGTGCTTGCATATGTGTGTGTGTGTGCGCGCTCATGGAGAAGGGTTGCCTGTGGGACAAGCATCATGACCTCAGTATTTAGTTTTATGAAGTATCAAGGCCATTGCTCAAATCTCTCTCTGAGCTTTAAAATGACTAAGCTGGTGGTTTTAAAAGCAGTAGTCTCCAAAAGTGACTCCCTTGATGTGAGTGTGCAACTGCTGCTCATGGTTCCTCTGTCTGATGAGACGTGTGAGCTGCCTTGAAGCTGATTTGCTCTGAACTGACATATGAGTGTTTGGTGGGAAATACATTTCCAGCTCTAAGTGGATGTCAGGCTTAGGCTTAGACTCAAGTCGGAGAAAGAAAATATGTGTGAGTGCAGATTGTTCCAGATCAAAGCTAAGTATCTGTCAGATAGGGCCAAATCCAGAGCCAGAATCAAAAGATAGCTAAGGCTTGGGTTGACTGGGGTCTAACTGGGATGGATTTGGACCCAGGCCCACCAGCCACTGACTAAGGGTTATAAATGGGGTAACGTGGGGCTGGGAGGAGAGAAGGCAGGGGAGTTTGCCATCAAGACTTGAGTCTTAGTCCTCACCACGTGCTGCTTTGGCATGAGTCTCAAAGCGGATATATAGAGAAGATTTGTGGATTATGGAGTGAGGATTTGCTCAGTAAAAGCCATGCACTGGTGGGAGGGGAGCTCCCACCACTCTTGGGACTTACCCAGGGCACTTCACCCACAAAGGGGTCTTCTTGCCTGACAATATGATGCCTCGGTGCTCTGGCTTTCAGGGAGCCCTGGTCCATTCAGCCGGCTCTGATCTGCGCAGAACCCCTACCAGAAATGGATGGGGACCCAGACATCCTGGGAGACACCTTGCTGTGGGGCTCCAATGAGATGGTCATGGGGCAGCGGTGCCATGGCTTCACAGGGTTGTTCCACAAGGTGCCACCTCCATCCTTGGAGCTTTTCAAGACCAAGCTGGATCAACCCCATACCTGACCCTGCTTGGATCAGGAGGTGGGACTAGAGACATCTCTTTCCTCCAATTTACCCTGAGACCTTGTTCTACTGGGGCTGAGCAAAGACTTCTCCATGTGAGGGAAGAGGCCCAAGGTATTTCCTAGAGCCCTACAGCATCCGAAACAGGACCAGGGCCTCTTCTCTGGCCATGAAGCCAAGTGGCAAGGCACAGCAAAACCGCTAAGGCCATTCCTCCTAGTGAGGGGACCTAATCCACACTGGGGCCATCATTGCACCTGGGAGAGGGCTGGCTGGCCCAGTCCAAGTCATCCAGGACACGGACACACAGTCTGAGAAACTGGGGGACATCTTGAACCTGTAAACCTATTAGGATAGACATCAAGCCAGAGCTCTCTGCAGTCCCACACCAGCCCCTACACCCTGGAGTCCCAGTCCCTTGAACATATCAGGAAGAGTTGGCTCACTTTGGCCACGCACTGAGCATGGCTCCTTGGAAGGGGTAGAGCCATGCCCAAGTGTTATGTGGTGGTAGCCTTTGGTGCGAAGATGTTCAAATAGCTCTTAGGTCCTGGCCTAGGAGGCAAATGAGAGGATGGTTTTCTGAAGTCATGCTTGCACTGTGTTGATGTTTTCACGCCCCGTGAGGTTGCTGTTCTATGTAAAAGTTGACACTTACCCACACTGTGTGTCCCATTGGAGCAATGTAGTCTGGATGAGATGATGCAGTGGGGCTGTGCCAATGGAGAAGCCCTACTTGTAATGAGAATGGTGAAAAGCAGCATCCAAACCCAACCCCAGCCAAAGGACACTCATTGCCATTAAAGAGATGTCAAAAAATTCAGAGGGACCAGTCCAGCAGCAAATCACAAAGGCCAATAAAACAGTTTAGGGTCCCTGGTGAGTCTGCATGCCTCTCTTCTCTGCCCAGAAAGCACCAACCTCCCCATATGTACTCAGTGATCTTGCAATTGTTAATGAGGCTCTTGCATGTAGAGACATGCACCTTTTGGTCATGATTTCTCCTTGGCCTGAAGCAGTTCATCCCTATATCAGCTTGTCCTTGGTGTCTCATCCTTATAGTCGCAATTTTATCTCCTTGTTTGCAACTCCTAGAGTTGTACTCTTTATCAGGTTGCTACTTCAGTGGCTGCTTTTGAGAAAAGTTGGTATGTAGCAAGGTGTGACCAGGGAACTCTCCCCCTGCCAACCCACAGCCAGCTGGTCCTGGCACATGGTGTCCAAATTTTAACACCAAACAGCAACATCTGGAGCAGAAACTGGGCCACATGGCTCCGTCTCTTGAGCTAAAAGAGTTTCTCAGTGGACTTGCTTTCAATCAGCTGGCTTTTAATTTTTTTATGCAGCCTATTGCTAACATGTAATGGGTTCATTTGTAGGCCAGTGGGCTGACTATATGGGAGAGGTTTGCCCCAAGACCAAGAGATAAGAAACCATCTTTTTATTTGTTGTTCTTTGGATGACACCTCATTTTATTGTCAGGTGGGATGAGGGGGTTCAGCTGAACTCTGTATCCTGCTTTTTCTCCGGCTTGTAAAATGAAGATTTTTTAGCACTTATTTCCCCACCTCACAGATGCATCATGAGGTGTAGTTAATTGACCTCTAATAATGCAAAGAGGTGTTTTGAGTCTGTATGCAACATCCAGGCAGCTTGTGGTGGTACCCCGTTGTCATGCCCAGCATCACATGTGACACTGCACATCCCACTCTGCAAAACTCATTAAAAGCCCACATCCTTAATTACCAAGGTGGAAAAAACTCAGCAGAGTTTTCTCCTGAGCCAGGTGGGTGGGGGAAGAACCATTTGCACAGTTTCAGTGTTCTGCTGCCACATTGACCCAGAAAATACCACGTTTTGTTTGAGAGCCCTTTGGACGTGGTGGCTGAAGCACATCGCGGAGAGGGGAAGGAAGCAGGCCCCTGGGCTCCATGGGGAGCTCGTTGATGAACCCCGTAGGGTTAGGACCAAACCTTTAGATTAGTTACGTCCCACTCAACCCAGCCCTTGGCAAAGTCAAGAGGTTGACTTCGGCCATCGTTGCATGGGAACACACCCAGCCACATTAGGGTAGTTTTCTCCATTTGTTTCTTAACCTGCTGCGAGGGGGGGTCGGAGCCGTGGCTTTGAAGCCGTTGCATCGGCAGCCAATTCGCACAGATGTTTTTGTGTGTTTAAAAGCCTATGACTGTTCTTAAAGAGGAGTATTTTTTTTTTTTTTTCCATTTGTAGAAGGAAGGACAAGAGTAAACTGTGGCAAACTGTACAGTACGTGTCTTCTTGTGGTGTCACTGTTTGAATGGTTATTAAGTTTTCAAATCACTGTGGACAGCTAATCACTTAAGTTATTAATTTATTCTTCGGGGTTTTGTTGTTTGTTTTTTTTTTTAAGTAATTTGAAACAATTATTTATCCTGTAAATTGATCTTGAGTGAAGCCTAGATAATACTTTTTTTGCTGTTAATAAACATGGTACATGCCTGACGTGAAGGTGATCTCATTTTTAAGTACTGTATATGCAGCAGGAAAGCAACAGGAAAATAAAAGAATGATAAAAAGACATCTCTTACTGGTGACTCCCAGCATGGACTCAAAGTGGGGTGAGAAGAAGAGAATTAATGACCAGATCAAGCTGAGTTATACAGCACCTTTAAAGCTTTCAGAGCATCTTCCTAGCAAGTTGCCAAGTATCTCCTACAGCTTCAGGTGTCCTGTCTGTGCAATGAGGGCCTTTAGGATGCAGTTAGGGATCTTCCTGATACCAGAACCCAAACTGTGTGTTTTTAAGCAGTTGAAGTGAACTTCAAATTATATATCTGCTCCAGGGATACACTTTGGTGTGTGCAAGGTGGGGCCAAATGCTTCCTTCCTCACCCATCAGTAGCTCAACACTTGTGAGCCCCAGCTCAGGACACCACCCATAAAACCCAAGCACAAAACCAAATATTTTTCCCCAGAGTTAAAAGCTCAACACTACCCCCCTTCAAGACACTTACATCCACTTTTTTAAAAAAAATAGACACTTGGGGAAAGACACCTGCCTGCACCACAGTCCCTGTAACCCCCTTTTTTAGAGAGGAGTAGCATCACCTCACATCTGTAGCACACCTGGGATCCCAAACCTGGAGCTGAGGACTCCACTGTGGGCTCTCCTCAGCCAGAGACATGTGTGACACTAACGGCCTATGCTATCATATGTACTATAGTATATACTTTACCATATACAAGTATTACTCATTTCTAACACTAATACTAATAGAGTATATACTATAATTGGTATAGAATAGAAAGTAACATACTATGCTAATGCTATATTAGATTTCTGTAAGGCCTTTGATATAACCCCCATAACATTCTTACCTCTAAATTGGAGAGATAAGGGTTTGATGGATGGACTGCTAGATAGATAAGGAATTAGCTGGATGGCCATGTCAAAAGAATTGCAGTCAATGGCTCAGTGTCCAAGTGGAAACCAGTAATGAGTGGTGTCTCTCAAGGGTCCGTACTGGGATCAATACTATTTAATATCTTCATCAGTGACACAGACAGTGGGATTGAGTGCATGCTCAGCAAGTTTGCAGATGACACCAAGCTGAGTGCTGTGGCTGATACTCTAGAGAGAAGGGATGCCATCCAGAGGGACCTTGATAGGCTTAAGGAGTGGGTCTGTGGGAATCTCATGAAGTTAACAGAGCCAAGTGCAAGATCCTGCACATGGGTCAGGGCAATCCTCAGTATCAATACAAACTGGGGGATGAAGGGACTGAGAGAAGCCCTGCAGAGAAAGACATGGGGGTATTGGTGGATGGAAAACTTAATATGAGCCAGTAACGTGCACTCACAGCCCAGAAAGACAACTGTATTCTGGGCTACATCGAATGTGGCCAGCAGGTCAAGGAAGGGGATTCTCCCCCTCTACTCTGTGCTCCTGAGACCCCACTGTGAGAGAATCCAAGTCACTTGTCTCCCTTGTCTGAGTGGGATGTGACTCCCACCTGGAGTACTGCACCCAGCTCCGGGGCCCCCAGTACAAGACAGTTTTAAACCGAAAGAGGGTAAGTTTAGACTAGGCATAAGGAAGAAATTCTTCCCTATGGGATAGGGGTTGGAACTGGATGATCTTTAAAGGTCCCTTCCAGCCCAAACCATCCCATGGTTCTATGATTTTATAATATTAACACTGTATTACTAATACGCATCATATATTACATTATACTACTAATAGTATAGCATAGTTATAATATTATAACATATGGTATATTAATAGTTTCATAGTAATAATAATAGTATTAATAAAGTATATTAATGCAAACTTTACTGTATGTTAAATATTTAGCATACTACTCATCCTACATATAGGATAGCTGTATATATATGATGTGCATATATATAATTTATGTACATAAATACATATTTATACTATATACATACATATATATATATATATTAAAAATTATTCTGGAGAGAGGATCATGGAGCAACTGTAGATAATGCTGTGAAAACAGAGGCTTAGGCCTGAGTCCAAAAGGGAAGCTCAATGCTAAGAATTATAGGACATGAACAGTGACTAAACCAGACCACCTTGTTGCACTGAAACTATCCAGGCTCCCATCCGTACTGAGCACTGCGTGCAGTTTGCCTCTGCTCACCTCAGAAAATCTTGTGGAAAAGGCAAGACATTCAGGGAAGCACGTTTCCATGTTGGGTTAATTATCTGCCTTGATTATTTAGATTAGGATCTCATCAAGGCAGAGACAGTCTTGCTGCAAAAGCACCTTCCAGCACGTGGCCCAGAAAATGCCTCCAGGTGACACTCCAGCAAAAAGCAAGGAGCTGGCATGACAGAAACATGAAAGCTTTCAGCAACCTCTTTGGACAGGAGGTTCATAAAAGTCTATTAATAGGAAACACAGTATTTTTTGTATAACTTCAGCTTTGGATCCATATTTCTTTCTTCTTAGCACTACTTTAAGTCTAGCATACTTAAATACAACAAACACACTTCACTGCTCATCTACAAATCCCCACTGGAAGGATTGTGATCTGTATTTGGAGGGCACCCAGCCCTGGGCTGGGCTCCCCATCCCACCTGTGCCTGCTCCTCTCCTCCAAACCACCACTCTGCAGGGTTGTCCCATGTCCAAGAGATTGGATGCTCATCTCCCATCAGCTTCCCCATCTCTTTTTTGAGTCATCTGCCCAATAGCTATGAAGATTGTAATAAGACATTAAGCCTCAATGTTGAATTTATTTCCTTTATTTATATATAGGAAAGGCAATAAAATAATACAATAGTATACACCAGAGATTTGATCCCAAGTGTCCTCTCCAGCAGACTTTCTGCTCACATTATCCATAGCAATGTCTGTGCTTTGCCTTTTCCTCCATGGCAACACAATATTCCTACCCCCATTACCCCACGGTCAGGATTAGGCCCTGCACCCAGGACCTAAGGCACAAGTCTCTGCCACTTGAGCTAGAGAAATCTCTACCATAGGCATGAGGGAGGATCGGGCAGGGACAGCAGCTGAGGAGGGACATGAGAGGGAGAGGTCCTGTAGACACACTGCCCAGGGCTTGGGTTGGCCTCCTGTCCCATTATTGATTTATATACTACATTGGTTTACATAGCATGTATTTATATTGGGTAGATATAATATATCCAGTTGGGCTACTCTCCTTGCAAATCAGCATTTAAAAAAAAAAAAAGCTAGTGGGTTTAGGGGTGCTCTTCCATTTGCTGATCAGTTCCAGGTATCCCAAAGGAAAGCCCATGTTTTAAAGGGCAGATCCAGCCCAGAAAGCCATGAGTAGCAGAAAGAGGCCGAGTCCTAAAGACACATCTGGAAAAACAGCTGTGTGTCTGGGCCTGCCATGTACACTAAGAGCATCCAGAGGTCACCACTAACACAACGGGGCTTTGCTGGAGCAAAAAAACCCTGACTGGACCAGGTCAGTCTCTCTTAGCCGGAGGGGTTTGTGCCCTTCGGTCTCTTTTGGGTGCTTTACAATGCTGCATAAAACCACTCTGGTCAACTTGCCACTGCTTGCTGTGACCAAAGCAGGCTTGCAAGCTCAACTCCCCACCAGATCAGCATTGCCACATTGGCTGCTCAGCATTTTTCAGCTTTTTCTATCTTTAGAGGCACGTCAAGGTGGGTTCTCAAAACCACATTAAAAGAAAAACAACAACCAAGCAGAGGTCCCCCCCAAACCCAACTCAGCGCTATGGGAAGGGCTGCAAACGGGATGTGCATGGGGCCCTGCTGGGTCTGTCTTCATCCCCGTCCCCTTCCCCATCCCCTCCCCAGGCTGGTGGCATGGCTCACAGCAAGCAAGACATGGCTACGCTGAAGCAAAAGGGCACTTCTCCGAGCTGTCAGCAGCTGCTCATCTCCGTGTTAGCTTCGTTACGTTAAGGCGTAAAGACCAAGTGCATAGGAAGCAGTGGGACCCTCTGGGTGCCTCCAAATCAGCCCCTGAGTCCTTTTCCATAGAAATGTTCCCCACATCCTCCTCCAAGATGCTTGCTGTCATCAGGGTGAGGAAGAAGAGCCTCTGGCTTAGGGTTGGCCCCGTGGTCACTGGCTATCTGGTTTAACCCGTTAGCTAGAAGACAAGTCCATGAAAGGAGCCGGATCCACCCCCGCCTGCCGCTGGGCTGCAGCCCCCAGATGAGCTGTCGTCATCCTTGTCCCTGTCAAAGTCTCTCCACCACAGCGGGGATTTCGGCAAGGCAGAAATGTAGGCAGCTCTGTTCCTTGCTTCTTTTTCCTGCTCCTGGGAGAAGGAAGGAGGAGAAATAACAGAAGGATATCTGTGGCTAAATGACCTGGGTAGAGGGATGCTCCCACCTTCCCTGAGGAGCCAGGAGCCTGTTTGGTTACCCCTTGGAGCCTACTCCCAATTAAACCAGGCTGAGAAGGTCATGTGCTCATATCCAGAGCTCGGCAAGAGGGATCTAGAAAGGCATTGCACCTCTCCAATGATCAAAAACTGGCCCTTCTACATCTCCTCTGGGAGAGAAGAGACCCCCAAAATTCCCCTGGGTGCTGCTCATGTCCTATGGGACACTGCTGTTTGGAAACCGTTGAACTCAGCCAGTTGAATGAAATCTGTTCTAGTTTGTATTCCCAGCTCGCCCATCTTTCCCAAGCACTTCGGAGAAAATTTCAGGCAACAGCAAGTCAACCCCAAGCACGGCCATGAGGTGTCTTGCACCAACCTCAACGCCTAATTTCATTGGGAAACTGTAACCTGTTTATACCCGGGTGCTGAAAACGAAAAGGGATTTGGCTTCAGGGAGCGGGTGGGTATCCTCATGCACAGATTTATCTGCAGGACATGACCCTGCTGCTGCCCGGATGGGTGGGAACGTGGCCCGTGAGCCAGGCAGCCGCAGGATCAGCACCCTGCTGTGCACGGCAGCGGGAGTTACCTGCAAGTAGAGGATGTTATCTTTGGAAATGGCCTCCATCAAGTCCTTATGGAGGGAAGGTTCGGCGTGCAGGCGGCCAGCCTCGGCCAGAGCCTCATGCAGCTGGCAGCTCTGCCTGCCCG